TATATCTAGAAGGATCACGAGATTTAAGGAAAAGACGTGAATGTTCGAGAATGACGTGGCGTGATACTAGTCACGTGACCTCGCTGACGCAACAATATATATATATATATGGAGATCTTGCCAGCCTAAGTAGTATGTTATATATATATATATATATGTATGTATTGCATTTATTTTAAAACTTTTTTAATACTTGTAATGCAGTTTTCATAACATTTTTCTGAAACAACATTTTATTGATTACTTTGGAATTTCAAGGAACATCACACATAAGGTTTACCACTTCATGGCAAGTTTTATTTGGATTCTACACTTTAGCTGTAACAGTGATTCTCTGTATTTTCAATGGGAATATCATTGGATCTGTGACCAGGAAACCCAGTGTGAGTCTGCAGGAAATAGCGAACGATCTAGAGCTTAAACTGGTTTTCTCCAAAAATTCTTCATTATTAAGAAGTTTAAAGGTTAGTTTTTGAACTAATATTAAAATTTGTGCATTTTTATACTCTGAATTAAAACAGGATTAATTGCAGGACATTAGAGACCATACTAACAATTTATTGATAATTTCTGTATTTAATACGACTCAGTTCATCCTGAAAAAGGCCGGGCTAAGAGGGCTCTAGTGAAGCCGTGACAGGCCCAGCAAGAAAACAAAGGAGACACACCCAAATGGATCTCAGCCACAAAAAGCGTCCAGTATAAAGATAAACGGACGAAAATCAAAAATTATGACCACACATACGGTGGATTGAAGGTGCCCTTAACACCCTTGGGAACATGACAATACAGGAGGCGAACAAGCGAGCAAGAAACCATTCCATGTGTCCCCCCCCCTCAATGCTGCAAAACATCAGAGGAAGGTGAAATGAATGAATGATAATGATCTGTATTTTGCGAAAGCTGTGCAGATATCCAGTAAAAAACTTTACATGCCACAGCCAGATTATGACAATTGACCTTACGTGTATGATGAAAGAAACCTGTTTTATTTCAGTTTAATTTTTGCATCTGGGGTGAGAAGTTTGAGTTAAATTATTGGGTGCCATGTGAGTTTTGTGATATCTAACCTTTGACGCAATTACCTGACCAATTTTTGAACAAATTGGTCAGGTAATTGTGACACAATCTGAATCTTTTCTACTTTGCAAACATATACAGCTGTTTTTTCCCTTGCGGTTGGCAGCTACAGTAGCTTCCTAGTGGCAGAAGTATTCCCAATAATTCTTTCTTTTATTCTTTGACTTACATATTAACACTAATAAGGCTACATATCTGTACTTATGTGGTCTCATCTAACACATCACATGATCAGTGTACATTTTACATACAAACATATAGAGCGTTGTACACGTTTTTATAAAGTCACCAGTCTGTATAGGTATCAATACAAACTTTGGGATGAAAGAACTAGGACGGTTTATGTAAATCACTGCAACATTCAGTAAACGTGTTGTGTCTATAAGTTACTACAACCTTCTAGTTTAAGGAAACAATATTGTTATTATGAACCAGCAGATTTTTGTTTTGATCCATATCAAACGTAGGATTAAAAACCACTTAACTGGTTTCTACAGAGCAGCAATCACTTTAACTTATATAAACTAATGCATTTTAGGTTTTATACTAGAAAATCAAACAAGAATATATTTGACTTACTTGAAAATTTAGTTTTTGTTTATTTATCATTTAGAAAGATGACTTCATGGGCATGGCATATCTGAAGAGAAGGCTTCAATCAAGTCCTGACACGTTTCTGCAATACAAAAGGTTATATGAAGATGAAAAATTTAAAAAAATGGATACAGGCACATATGCTGTTTTTGGTTGGTCTTCAGAATTGTTGTGGTTCATGCATAACCATTTGAAAAGCAAGAACAGATGTCATTTCAGAACGCCTGACAAAATGATAGAATACATGTTTTATGGTATTCCTTTAAACAAGGACCTTACAGCCTGTATCAAGAGTTCAATAAATAAAAGGTATGATGATATTATGGTTATTATTCCTTGGCTTCAGAAACAACTCAACTATATATAATGTTAAAATGCTAATTTCATTTCATTTCATAGCAAAACAAGAATAATTTAAAAAGTAATATTAATTATGTAATACTCGTTTTCCTACTCAGATATTTTTTTCTATGTAATTAACTTTAAATCTTTATTTCAGTGTTCAGCGACTAGTAGAGTTTGATTTATTCAAGAAATGGTTAGATGATACAACATTCTACCACAAGTTCTGTCAGTATACACCAGACACCACCACGAGACCCTGGAATTTGACAAACCTCAGAGGAGTTTTTTGTATTTACTTTATTGGCGTTGTCTTATCTGCTTTGGTTTTATTTGTAGAACTTTTTTTTCGTGTTAAGTTCTAGGGAATATCTTACTTCTCTAAAATGTTTAATGTTTAACTTTCCTAATACTAGTATTCTATGACAAGTATAATTACATATATATATATAAATATATATTATTGTCTTTATTATTTTTGCTTATTTACCTACAATATTGTTTATATTGTATTACATTTTTTCGCTTCTTTAGGTCTTTCCATTGTCAAGTGCACATTGTTTGTCTACATTCTTAGATTCATAAGAGCCCGCAACTTTTGAGAACATATAACCGTCATTCACTTTATTTTCATATCAATCCTGGCGAAGAACAGTTGCTCGAAAGATTGCTAGATAAAATAAAGTTGGTTCTATTTTAACGTTGTATTTTTTCAATGGTTTTATTTTATTTTATTTATCTCCCAACATTCTACAGATTCCAATTCTTCTGAAAACTTTATTCATGCCAAACTTAAGAAGTTTTTTCGACGTAGAAGTATGCTACAGATTTATATAGAACAACAATATCTTCCTTTTGTGTTCTGTTCTAACCAAGACAAGGTATTATAGCCAAATAAAAAGAAATATATATAGTTAACCCTATAAGAAGCAAAGATATCAAAATTAAAGAATAGGTTTAACCTATTCTTACTGAGCCAAGTAACTTTATTCAATCTTGTCTAAAAAGTAATGTCAAACGTCTTGAATTTCGTGTTAAATATCATCACGAGCTCTATACCACGTATTTAAACGTCTTTTCACATTTTAAACTCAACAACAGTTTTAGAAGGTCTGATGGTAATAACCCATAATAATTACTGCAACATTCAAAATATGAAATTTCAAAGTTGTTATATCGAACCACAAACTTCTGTATGACTTTTATGATCAAAGTATTACGAGAAGTAGTCACATTCAAGATCTTAATCAAAACTTGTATGGTTTTCAAATTCATCCCAGGGATACCACTTTTTGCGCTACTCTATTGCTCTTACAGCATACGTTTTCATGCATCATGACTGCCCCTTGTACAACGTCAGTAAAATATCTAGAAAACGATATGCTTCTCATAACATTTCAATTTACTACTTGAAAATATTCCATCACAACCAAATAAAAACCAGTGTTTCATTTGAAAATGATTTCTTCACACTTTTAATGAGGTATTACTCCTCTGTGAAGAGTGAGGATTTTTCCATACTCTTAATGGGGTATGACTCTTCTGTGAAGAATGAGGGATCTGTATGAAAAGTGAGGGGTCTATATGAAGAGTGAGGGTTTTTGTTCTAGACGAAGCAGAGAGTGAATTTAGCAACTTTTCAGAGAAATGAGTCTTGTTTCGCTGGGGTTGCCGATGTTTACTTTCACGTGAAGCCATGCAACACGAGTGAATCGACTTCTGTTAAGATAATACAGTTGCTCAACCATCCATGGTTGTAACGGAAAACGTCCATTTAATGTGGTCCTATGTATTAAGGGAAAGTAGAGACAGTACGAATAACATTACTGCCCATGGAATTTTAGGCTGAATATCTAGTTCATATAAATTCCACAAGATCTTCAAAACTGTTGAGTTTCTCCACTCACAGATGGCAGCACATTATCAAACCATAACTACAGTTTGTTTGTTTGTTTGAAATTAAGCACAAAGCTACACAATGGGCTATCTGTGCTCTGCCCACCACGGGTATCGAAACCCAGTTTCTAGCTTTGTAAGTCCGCAGACATACCGTTATGCCACTGGGGGGTCCCATAACTACAGTCATCTATTGAAGTAGTTTATATAGGGTACTATGATGATGATGCACATGCTTGAGTCAGTCTGTCAAAAACCGCTAAAGTATGTAATAATGTGTAAATGTTGCAGCCTTACGTGTATGTGAATATGTGTTTGTTAGGTGTGGCATAAGTGTATGAAACTCTACACAAAGTCAGACATACGCGCTGTTCAACACAAAAAAGAATCAGTCACTGAAAGAGCTATGAAGTAAACTGTGAGAGCTGGCTTGTAAAGCATTATTTAAAGAAACAGTGAGCTAGTGTTTTCAATATTTTTATTATTTATGTGAATAAATATTTGTGTACCTGTATTCCTATTAGTGTCGAGTCTTTCTTCTAGACAATCCCGCTTGTGAATCAGAGCTAAAATTCAAGGTTAAAAAAAGTCTATTTAATATATTTCGCCAAATTATATTCGACAAACATGTCACAACAAAGATTTACCTTTTAAATTCGCGAATAAGTGAGTCTTTTGAAAAAAAAAATTACAGGTGAAATAACAACATAATTTGAATGAAAGTCACTTTACAAAAAAAAATACATTACTTAGGTAGTCACTCAATCAACTATCGCGCACCTTTTAAAGAGAACCCACGAACTATCAATAATCCAGAAAACAGAAATAAGAATCATTGATTTATTGTTTTAGTTGACTGCCGTTCCCTAACCATACTCTTTGCTACAGTTCCGTCATCTGTGAACAAAGGAACATACTGTTACGTCTCCGTTTGTTAATTGATTTTCCGTAACTTCGTTCCGACGAAACTTTAGCGACACAAGTCCTTACTTAATAAAGCTGGTTTATTCTTTCCGAATATAACTTTACGATACACTTAATTTCAATATTCGCGCTAAAACAAACACTATAACGAACGAACGTTAACTTCAACAATACCCTGTGACTGCAGTTCAATTACTCACTATCTACACACACATTATTGTCCCGTCACGTTGTCACCCTCTTTTATATACCAGACTACCCTATATCTAGTAAGTACTAGAGCATTCGCCAAGGTACAGGATAGTTCTAGAAAATAGGTGGCGCCACACCAGTCACGTGACCTCGATGACGCAACAATACTATACTAATTGTTTGAGTGAAAAACATATTAAAATTTTTATCATAAATTTAAACCTTATTCTTTTCTTGAGCTATTAGATTTATAATAAGCACATGTTCTGTGAAGTTTTTATAGTGAAAGAAGCAGTGGAAACGAATTTTGTAAATTGAATCATAAAATAAATAGTTTCTGTTTTACATTTCATACAAGAAAGATGTCACTTTACCAATTCGTTAAGCGTGTGTCTATAATCGCGCTTTTGACTGAGGTCTTAACATTGTATTAGGTTAAAGGATGCCGGTTGTTGATTATTTAAATATTAGATTTGCAAACTACAATAACATCCCGTTATTTAATAATATTTAAAACTAATAAATACGTAGTACTAGTTTAAAAGTTTGCATATTTGTCTCTTTTTGGGAGTACTCGGAGTAGTACTGCTACTAGTACTACTATTACTATTAGTAACTAAGTGACACTAACAAACCTAGGATAAGTATTTGACAACGACAATGGTTGGACATAATAGTAATACTCTTGAATACTGTGATGACGAAGTACTTTTTAACAGCAGATGTGAATCATGGTGTGTTATAGCAGACATCGAGCTGCAGATAGATAAATCTGATAATTTGTATTTATGTTGCTGCACAAGATTTATTGGGTAAGAAAATTATCATACTTTAAATTTTACATGTAATCAAATCGCATATTGCACCGTAAATAATTATTTTTTATATTGCTGTCATTAGTACTAAAAATTAGGCAAGAGTAACTCAGCTATATTACCTCAGATTTTAATGTCCCATTTCAGGGTAGAGACATTGTGACACTCCTGGGATGAAGACATGTCATTTATGGTTTTTACACAACATGATGACAATCCATTTCTTATTCCAGGAAATATCCATTGCCTTTTCCAAGATATTTTAGTTCTAAATCTTGATGCCTGCTGCAAATTCTGGAATAATTCTGTGTTTAACTGCATGTGTTATCAAAGATTTAAGATTCCAAATATGCATTCAAGTTCAAGTTGAACTTCAACAAACAATGGAGTGAGGTTATAACTTATACAACATGGTTATTAACACCTTGTACTGTTGTAGAAATTCATAATGTCATTGGGGTTAAGACTAAACTGTTTTATCATCAGCTAGAAGTGAATTTTAACTTTTTTAGTACCTAAACAGTGCTTAAGTGGGCTGTTTCAAAACCTGTAACAACCTTTCATTGGCAAATGTCAAAGGACTTCTTTGGAAATTATATGAAATATGTAACTGTAATTAGGTTTGTTCAAATTGTGCAATATAAAGTGGAATCACAATTGTCTTCTTTTTATTGCTGATACTAATAGAATAAACTCTGTACAAATTCGATGATGAGGAACCCACTTTGAAACTAATAATGGTTGGAGACGGCTTGAATGGGGTAAGAATTAAAAATTTTTTTTTAAACTTAAAGTCATTTTTT